CATTTACATTTGGAAGCTTAAGAATATCGAAAAAATTTGCAGAAATATTTCTACACATATATTGTTAGGTTTTCCGTTGAACATGATAAAACAGAGCACATTCATGTAAATTCTGTATATACAAAAAATACGAAAAGGATAGCATGATTATGTTAGTGACAATCGTCTCTGTATTATCGACATTGTTCGTAAGTTCGGCATCGTCTCCAGCATCCCCTTAAGGAAAAATAGAAAAGAATAATTTTTACTCATAGTATTCCTATATACTTACATTTCTAGTTCAAAGATATCAGAAGTCACCGTGAAAACCTGATTGAGTCAATGATTATACCTTTTATATTATTTATTTCTTGACAATTTGTTGAATGATGATTGAAATTGCTTGTTGCAAAGAAAATAGTAGAAATAGCAAAGGAATTCCAATGCATTTTGCAGTTGCATTGGTGCACCAGTGATTTCAAAGATTTCTCTTGCGATTTTACGTGCAAAAATTTTCAAGTGGAGTTGTCAAAAATAGTTTACGAGATATTTCATATCTTGTATTGAAAAGTATGTGTGTCTGGATATAAAATGAAAAATATTTCACGAAGTATTCATTTTTCGATGATTTTATTTTAGTAGTTTTATATACTTAAGGTCCAGATAAATCGGTTAATATTAAAAAAGAAACCATATGATTTTTTTTTAAATTAGAGTTGATTTCGACGGAGCTTTCCGGGATCAAATAAATATTACTAATCAATAGATTTTTAAAAATTCTATCACTTTTATCCGAAAAAATTTTTTTTCAAAAAGTGCATTGTGGGCGAGATATTCAAGATCGCGATATATTTTTCGTACTCCGTTATCTACTATTTTTTATGTTTTTTTTACGCGCACAGAACTAAAAGAAGCTCCCTTTTTTGAAGTCCGTTGAAAACCAGACGAATCAACACGAAATCCATTTCTAGTGTTCGCGATCCGCGACTATAGTCATTAACTGCGGGAATGAAAAATTCATGATCCTGCGCACAGAAAGAGAACGAGCGTGTAGCTGCTGATTGTTTTTCGCTCGCCTATTTTTCGCGCGGATTCGGGAAACACGCGTAACATCGTACGTGAGTGTGTACCGTGCACGATAACGCGATCATTCGGCGGTGGGCGTCAAGTAAACATTCCTCGTATTTCGGCGACCCTGTTCATTGGTCGGCCGGAATTCGCCAACTAATCATCCGCTTTGATCGTTTTTGCACAAAAAAAAAAAAACAAAAAATGAAAGAGAGGAAAGAAGAGGAGAAGGAAAAAAGGAAGAGACGAAGTGCGGGGTGGGAAAACGAGACGCGGCACTTTGGCTACATTTAGACTTGTTTTATTTGAATATGCGCCGTTGGACCGTCCGCTGTAACGAGCAATTTATGCCAGCGGGACTTTATTTAGATGGCAATAAATGCAGATTCGCCAAGGGAAGGGAACGGCGACGACGACGGCGGCGGCGGCGATTCCATGGGGAACCGTAAAGTGTACAATGTGCAACAACGCGCGTACAATGCAGCAACGGGGACGTCCCCGTTGTTCTTTATGGGCAGCGCGCAGGCTTGCACCGTCGTAATACGGTATACAATGTGAAATCTTTAACGTCGCGTCCTCGCCGCTGCACACCGAAATATACTTGTATTCTCCATACAAGATTATATACTTTTACTCTTAACAGATATTCCTATAGAATAAGAATTTTCCCTTCTTTTTGTAGGTTTTATAGAATATCTTCTGGAATGAAAAAAATATTCTTTTCTTTGATATCCAACCTTTACAACTGTCGCTCGTTTTTTAGTTCGGGAGTAGACTACCACTATAATGAAAATTATAATAAGACATAGTAAAAGTGATTATAAACATAGTAAAAATTACTATAAACATAGTAAAAATTATCATGTTTAAGGTCATTTACTTTGTTTTATTATAATTTTTGTAATATATAGTGCCAATCTATTTTCGGACTATTAAAATTACATTTTAATTTTTACTGCAATATTTTTCCGTATAATATTTAGACATATTTAAGATATGTAGTACTTAACCCTCTTCATATCTGGTAAAATATGTAATACTAATCTTTTACATGATTCTACTCTTAGCGTAAGAGAATCTTTTTAATGTCTATTTTAGAGGAGGATATTCTTTATGTAAACAGAATTTTCTTAAAAGGAGAATACAATTTTTCAGTGCACCGCGTGCTGCTGCATCTCGAGTGTGTGCGAAATTTTTAATCGGATCTTAACGGGTGATAGCACGATCCTCTTACGTGGCTTCGCGTGCTTCGCTGGTTTACGACGGGGAAATGATCGCAGGTAACGTTATTTCCACATTCTGGACGCTCTAGACGCTTCTAGTAAATTACGAGGCGATCTTGCGAGCAACGCGTTTCCGACGCTACGGTTGTTGTGTAAATTCAGATTCGTGTGTAAATTGCAATCACGGAGGCACACGGCGCATATTGTGTACAGTTTAAATAGAGATCTATTTTACCAGGAGATTGTAGCGCCCGCGGAGACTCGGACGACAAAATGTGAAAATCGATTTATGCTCATTGGAACGTGGCACAGCGCTGAGATATCACGATAATAGCCAGTTCGATAGTAATTTGCGATGCGCTCAATTGTCTGCGTTATCATCGGTCGTTATTGTTGCTTCTCTGCGAAATCGATGAACGTTCATTCCGCTCTCGTTTTCCCGCCTTTATCGGCGATTGATGAGCCGACAGCGCGTGTATCTACATTTCCCGTTACTAATAATCCTAACGATAATTTGTTATTTACGTGCAAATGCGAATTTACTGACAGAACAGATAACGAATCGCTTGGCTAATGAACGCCGAGGGCGCCGCGTCATGAAGGAAATGTAACACTCAAATTTGTAGTATCTCGTAAAGTCGAGATTTCAAAGTTTAACATGAAAGATGAAATATTATTATTATTTTTATTTTTATTCATATATTTTTTTTTATTAAGATATACAGCAAAAATTTGATATAACAAAATATACCAGAGAATGTTTTTTTTCTGAAAATGAATCGTTTCTAAACTCAATAAATATGATCTCATTCTTAGTAAAGTTCTTTGAATCCTAAAAGATTTTCTTCTTATATATGGCCTCAAAAAGATTCTTCTAAAACCTAAAGGAAAATATTCTCAGCACAATATTCTTCAGTTGGAGGAATTAGAGGAATTAGAAAAATTTATGTAAAGAATTTTCCTTATGTAGAGAATTTTCTCTCAAAACAAGAGGAATAAATCTTATGTGTAGAATATTTTACTATTGGTGCCTACTTTAGAGTATTTTTTTAAGAACACCAAGTTTTCAGTGAAGTCTTGCTTGTCGCGTCTAAAAAGACATTCTCTCTCTACTCCAGGTAAACATATTACTTTTGATTTAAAAGAAAAAAAAATTTAAATAATATCTAAATAGATTTCCGATTAATAGTTTATTTTATTAGACGAATAGACGATATTCTTTCGGTAGAAATTCTTGCTATTAATATGAAACTACGGAAAATAGCATCTTGCAAATAGAGTTCTTTTTTTGGAGATGAATAAAGTGACTTCAAGAGTGAGGATAAGTTGCCTGCGCAAGAGGACGATGAACGGCTAATTGAGTAACAGCAGTGGTAATATATAAAACAACAATGTTTTATTGGAAACAACATACAATCATGTGCCACGTATGTTCCTTATAAGCCCTTACCGTTCGCGCGTTCCGCAAAAGCGCGCACGCTACAAACAAATACAAATGCTCGAAGTTCGCGGAGCGACCCCGTTCGTCCCGTTCGAGTCTCACTCTCGCCCGTTTCTCGCTCATGGAACACACGAACGTCGTCGTTCCGCTCGAATTAGGATCTCCCTCATCGATATCGCATAGGACCTTTGCTCGTGCCCTTTCTCCCTTGGGTCAGAAACGCGCGAGTACAATTTGCCGCATCTCCGGAGAGACAGACGAAAGTATACAAGGCAGAAAAAGATAGAGATAGTTAGATAGATAGATAGATAGATAGATAGAGATAGATAGATAGATAGATAGGAAAAGAGTGAGAGAAAGTTGGGATGGATGGTAAAGGGAAAACTCTCGTAATTTGCCGCATGGGGATACCGATTCGCGGGGTTTCATTTCCAAGCAGCATTCTTGTCTAAAGGGCTCGCCTAAAAGGATATAATCCTAAGGGATTCTCTAATCTAGTCCTCGACGAGACGTAGAGAGACGGAAAACGAGGACGAGAGGATTCGTCGAGCGGTGGAGGAGGCCTCCCGTTGTTATGTACAAGTACATCGACGAGTAGTATACACACACGAGTCCACGTGCCTTTTTTTGTGTTTTCTTTGGTATTATTACACATACTCACACGATATCTCTAATTGCGATGTCACAGCGATCTTTTCTCGGATTGGCACAAAACGGCGCGCGCGCGCGCGCGCGTCCCTTTTCACGCTCGGGTGGCGGCGCCTTTCGTTATCTAATCGTTAGAGTTAGAATTAAGTTTCCTCTTTCTTTCTTGTGTTTTTCTAAGATTTCTCTTTCTTCCCTTCTTCATTTCTCTCTACGACAATGCGCTCCGAGGGCGTAGCCGCAACCGTTTCGATGCAGCGATCGGCGGGTGAGTGATTCGAGGTCATTGAATCCTGCACTGATTCGCGCAGACTCCTTGGGGATGTATAATAGAATTACGGCGTTTTGGAGTCGTGATATCTTCTACGACGCGCGTGTAACTTCAGGTGAAGAAAGATCTCGGCGAGTATCCGCGTGATACAATTTGATCGCGAGAATTGTGTGATCGCACTGAGAGAAAAATGGTATTTGTAACTATAATCATATAGAGAAATAATTACTATAAATTATGGTGAAGACAATTATTTTTTACAATTAACTATAATTGTAAAATAATACTATAATTGTAGGTGATAATAATGTTATATGCGTGTTACTACTACTATCTTCGTGTTAGAAATAACTAAAAAATATAGTTAGTCAAATTGGACGTAAATTATATTTTTTGGTTGTTCCAACACAAAGATAATAATAGTAATAATAGTAGTAGTAACGCATGTAAAGTAATTATCACTAAAATTATAATATAATTGACTAAAGAATGATTGTTTTGATCGTAATTTATAATAATTATTTCATCATATGATCATATTTACAAATACCAAACATTTTTTCTCAGTGCAAGACTCTACGAACAATTGTTATCGGATTGACAATTATAAGGAATTGAGATGGCGAATTCTTTGGCCGTCCGCGTGTAACTCGATTGCAACTCCGCGATGAAGTAACATGTCGATCGCGTGTCGCTAGAAAGTGGCGTTCCTTTATTCGTTGTATCGATCCTCGCGCAATGCAACGTAAGTTTATGATGGTCTCACGTGCGAAAAGCAAAATGGAACGTAAAACGTGTCTCTTTCCCGACATATACACGCACATATGATGACTCCTCTACACAATCCGTATTCCGAGTGTGTACATGTATTGTTCGCGTAGGCAGTTTGATACAAGATTAAAATTGATCTCTTTGCGAGAAGGAACGGCGCGTTTTCTCGTCGTTCTCTTTTTGCGCATAACTCGACATTCGTAACGATATTGTAAGGTTTCCGACCGAACGATTAATTAATCGGAACGACTGATATGGTATGATTCGAAAGTTATCGCGTTTAAAGTCTTCCTCGTCTCTGTTTCCGCGTCTGAGAGTAAAACAATTCTTTGTTCGTTCCAAACGGCAAACAGGAGGTCACGTCTTGTTGTTATTGTACCCCGCTTGAACCGACCACCGTGGTGGATCGTGATCGAAAGAGCTTCGGCTAGCGGCAGAAAGTTTGAAAGGCGAGGGACTCCGAGTTCTCGACGGCATCGTAAAGTCGAAAGAACCTAAGAAGGTAAAAAGGTCGATCGTCGTCTACGTTCGTTTCGGCTCAGCGTACTCTAATAGTTTATAAATACAAGTACATGTGGAGAGAGTTCATAGCGACTATACAATACTTGAAATTATTAAGGCCGCTATTTCGTGTGTGCGCACAGTGTCATTTTTTACGTGACTTCGCAGATTTCTCTCTCTTTCTCTCTCCCCCTCTCTTTCTCTCTCTCTTTGACTGACGAATCGTTGTCGATAACGTATTTTGAACTCTGCTACCGGTCTTCGGTCTCGTCGTCTATGCTCGCGGTCGACTTTTGCGGTAACTCGCGACTCGCAAATTGAAACGGTTATTGATTCCCAATTAGTTTCGACCACATCAATCAGACGTGGTAAGATACTCAGCAATTTCGAAGATTTGCACGATGTTCTTGAAACTACACAATGTGCGATCATGCGCGCTAAAGTGCGTGAAGCGAGCTGAAGTTGCAGTGGAAGTAACCTTGGACAATGGTGGAACGTGCTTTAGAAACCGCTCAACGTGGCAGCAAATTAATCGATTTCGTGAATAACGTAATTACAATTGACAGACAATTCATCTTCTCAGGAATCATCGAATAACATTGCAATTTTCACCATATGTTGTCGTCAGTGGTTAGTTACTCTCGCTAATGCAATCCAACCTAATCTTACACGCAGAGAATATTATAGTTTACATTTTATATGAATTCCTTTCAATTTTACTGTACTTTTTTTCTAATAATGCAGGAGTAGACTGACAAGTCTGTTTTGTTAAGGAACATAGTACATTTTTTTTGGCAATATGTATGGATAAAAAAAGTTTGGTTGAATAAGACAATTTTTGGTGAAATATGAACGAATCAGAAAATTCAGGTCGATGTTACCAGAACTCTGTTCAAGTTAATCAGAGATCTTGTTAACTTGAACAGAATTCTGCTAACTAAACTTCTGGAATTTCGGATCCATACATATCTTATCAAGAATTTGCTTAATTCAACAATATTCTTTTTCTGCGTATAATAGCACATTTTTTAATAACGATGCTTTAATGGAACGCACAATTGTTAATTTAAATAACACATATGAGATGAAAAGAATAATCAATTACTGCAAAGTGCTGATCTATTATTTAGTATAAGTAATAGATTATTAGTAATAGATTTATTAGGGTATAAAATTTTATAATAATGTTTGCTATTAAATTCTCTCCGTGTACGCTTCGAATCAAAGCGACGCAAGTCGACAAGTCGCGAAAAACATGAACTTGTGCTACTTTCGCGCAAAACCCGTCGTTGTTCATTACGTTAACATTTCTCGATAATGACCTATGAAACTGAGGGGGAGCGATAGGAGATTTGACAGCCGATAACGCAATACATCGATTAGTAGTCCGAACCCGTAGTCGATTTCATTGGCTCGCGCTGCCTCGCCGTCGACATAAGGACCAGTTCGAAGTTAGGCAGTGTAATCGGTGACGGCACCTGAACTGCTTCATCAACATCACACTCGACACAAGAGAGACCCGCGGTATACATACAGAACATACTCACATATGAAATGAATCGATCGACCGTGATGCGCGCGTTTCGCCAATGAATTACGCTCTCGATGTGATTACACTCCGATCTCCGGATTCGTACTCAAAGGGGCGACAAAGAACATGCGATACTTTACAATTCCTACGTAAAATTTCGACTTCCATCGTGCGCACATTGTTTGTGCGATTGTACGCGTTGACACCGACTTTTACGTCCAGATTAGTAGTCGTTACTTGAGACTTGTTCTAAATTATTTCATTGATAAAATTAATTATTGATCAAACTTTGATGTAATCACTGAAAAATTTTTGTTCTTAAAAAAACCTCTAAAATAGACACCAGTAAATAAATATAAATATTCTAAACATAAGATTTATTCCTTTTGTTTTGAGAGAAAATTCTCTACACAAAAAGAGATAAGAGTTTCTCAAAAAAAAAAATAAAAAATAAATAAATCTTATATTTAGAATATTTTATACTTAATGCCTATTTTAGAGGATTTTTCTAAGGACAAAAATATTAATTTTTCAGTGATTGATTATACACTGCACGGAAAGTCTGGTCGGATGAAATTACCAGAGTTCTGTTGAAAGCAGCCAGAAATCTTGATAATTTAGACTGAATTCCGAGAACTTGAATCGGAATTTCTGAATCGTCATATTTCACCAGAAACTGGTTAATCTGACCAAATTTTCTTTATTCTATATAATTAATAATTGATTTTATCAATCAATGAAATTACTCGTGATTACATAATCAATTTTGATGATTGATTTGTCGAATATTTATAGCGAAATGAAATTCGCAACGATTGATATCCAGACACTGATTTAGGAAGCTTCAGCTTTACGAAGAAAAGAGTTTGCGCGTTTCAGCGACACCACAGTCAGGTCGCAGTTGGATGACGGTGCGCACACGTTCATGACAAAGGAGAGAATGAAAAATACGGGGAAGAAAAGAGCGCGGTCGCTCGAGTGAGTGAATCAACATAATCGGGATTCGCGAGCACACGTGTCTAGTGATTTATTGGCGGCTGAGACGATTTCGCTCTATAAAGGCAAAGGAGAGAGAGAGAAAGAGAGAGCCCAGCGTGTGCGAAGAGTGCTCGCGAGTATGCGACGTCATCGCATACGAATGCGCGCTTCTACGATGATGAAAGCTTCAGAGGCTCTTTCAGAGCCTCGTCGTCGCGCGTTTCGTCGCATATTCCATTTGGACTTTCTATTCGCAAGAGGATCGAATCCGTTCCGCACGCTCGCACTCACCGTGAGAACTCCCGACGTAAGAACGAACGCCCTACGCTTTGCATTCACAAGGTGCATGGTATACAGGAATGTTTTACTTTGTTAGAAACTTAATTAGAATTACACGTGATGCAACAGACTGGAGCTGGCAGTAGTAGTGGCGCAGTTACGGAGCGCTCAGTTGCGATTCAAATGACTTCAGTGCCGTTTCTCTGAGTGCCATCGCTCATTTTCAAAAAGAAAAATAGATAGATAAATAGAGAGAGAGAGAGAGAGAGAGAGAGAGAGAGAGAGGGGGGGAGGGGAAGGGAGAGAATTTTGGAAAGATACAGAATTGTCAATGTTCATGCAAGTAGAATTTTCAGCACTTGCGGAGACTCGAGGACGTTATAACACGGAGTTATGACATCAAGGTTGTTACACAGATTATCATATAGGATCGTTATATAAATTACGATTACACGCGCGTTGCGAGATTTGCGTCGGAGATCGAGCAAGCGGAGGAATGGTAAATTACTGGAGTGCAAAGGCTCGAAATGTTCCAAGCTCCGATAATGTCGAAGGGAAAGGGGAAAAGTAATCTTTTTATCGAGAGGAGGGTATTCAGTTTGGACGTTTTATCTCGCACGCGCGATCGCGAATACACCGTGCGGAACGTCTGTCGTCAATTCACGCGAATGTCCGAGCACGTGTAGACTCGAGCGACCCTGCCGGCTCCATTATTATCGTGACGCACTCGAATACACCGTGCGGATTTCTCTCTCTCACTGGGGACAATTATCTCGCACTCTCGACTTAACAAACGTAACACACTTCCTTTTATCTTTAACAACAACAGTAACAACATGTTTCCCGATAGCAACGTATTTTTTCTTAAAATTCTCTGAAGGTGGAGGACGCGGGGACTCGCGTCTCGGTCCATCCCACACATATACTTCGCACAATAATTGAGAACGGATAATTAGTGACTCTACAAGAGCGGATGGGACGCTGAAGGAATTCGTTGCGAGCGTCTCGACGCATCCTCGACGTAGATGCCGTCTCGAAGCACGCTCCGACATTCGTTCCTTCTCCACTGTTTCTTTTCTCTCGGTTGGACAACTTGACATGCAGTGCAAGCCCGAAAAGCACGGCTTTGTGGAAGCGGTGTTTAACAAACGCGGAACAAATTCAACAAAATTTTCGCGCGCGGTCATAAGTCTCATTGCGAAAATATACATTGGAATTTACAATCAATCGTGTACGATCAACGTAAACTATTTATATCATAGTGAAAATGCATAATGGTGTGTGGAGCGCTCGGGAAGTGCGTGAGTCGTCATTGAGGAATTTTTATTTTGCCATTGCGCGCTCGATATTTCTGTGAAACTTTTGTAAGAAGTTGAGTAGGGTGAAACACCATTGATCGCCCTTAGTCACTGATACTTTGGAAAAGCCTGGTTTTCTATGCGACCAGTGGTGATTACACTGCAGATGCAAGTGTGTTATTTTTAAACCGGATAATTTGGCTGAAGATCTTTTTACACGTTTCTTGTAGTTTTAAATCACACTATTTAACACACTATTTAACTTCTTGGAGTGGTTTTATCGTGAATCACCTATTAGAACCGAATCATAGCTTCAGGCATAATGACATTGCATGGCATAGTGAGACATTCTACCGGTTTTTCGTGTTACTATTCACTTCAGTTTACGTGTTTATTCTTGAAAAATAGGAAAATAGAAAAAATTAATTTCGAAAGAAACAATCTCTCTCTTGTCATTCTAGACATATGATATGAATATTTGGTTAGAATACGAATTTTGAAGTTCCTGTGTTTCCAAGGTTTATTAGGTTATTAACCTAATAAAGGAAGCGTGTGAAATATGGTAATGAAGATTCAGCTATTTTGCGCCATCTCTGATTAGGCCGCGAACTTCTCCAACGACCCACGTATTCGTCGGGATTTCTTAATTAAATTAAATCAAACAAAAAAATAGGTCTCTTGACAGTTCTTGACGATTCACGCTTCTTCCGAGTGCTCTCTACGCATCATCATAATTTTGGGGTTCATCTTGCGTAACGCGTTGCGACCGATTATTTCACATTTTGTAATCTAATTTGTCGAAAAGGAACACTGTGGCCTGCAGTGCACATTACAGCTCATACGGACCAATGCGATTATGTACAGCGACATAAGTCTTAAAATCTTAACACTAACTCTCGATTCCGATGCGCGCAAGAAACTCGACTTCGCTCGAGGGCTCTCGTACGTTGATCTCGAGTTAATCTCGTCATCCGGATGCGGATTGCCAGGACGTCGTGTCGAGAATAGCAACAATATTCTGCCATCTCCCAACGATATATTAAACATTCACGCGATCTACAAAAATCTATATAGAGGTTCTCAAAATATCTGAGGAACATACATGAATAATAAGTGTTGTCGATTGATCGCGCTTTCCTGCACACTCGATATAAATCGCAGTTTCAGGCACCGTTATATGTAATAGTGTAGATATAAAATATTTTCATATACTTGTTTTGTTTTCTCTCTTTTTCACCAATTCTTCGTTTGTGATCTTTTTGATTCGCTGCCGCCACGTCGGTACGCTACATTCGCGCAGATTGGTTTCCTCCCCGTTTACTTCTTCCCTCTTTCGATCTCAAATAACGAGTCCTGACACTCCGCGACACGCACGCGCATTTTGTGGCTCGATTTTATCTCGTATTTGTATAGTACTTTTTGTTTGAGCATATTACGTCCTCAAATTAGGTTTCTTCTTTAGAATATTTCATTGTTGACAATATTAAATATATATATGTATATATGTATAGGTCTCGTACTATATTTTTGTTGTTATATAGCGGACTTCATTTACACTCTAATCCTTTATCCGACATACACGTTTAAGTATCATGTTTAGTTATCTCGTATGGTACACATTGACATTTTCCACCAAGATATCGATTAAATTTCTCAGTTCTCGAGTTCTCCCGTTACACGTCGATCGCATCGCCGCGTCGACGTGTAATCGCTGTGTACGACACTTGTTTGGAAATTGGCACGAGTTCGTACAAAGTGGATCGCGCGCGTTCTTCTTAAAAGATTTAGGAATTTCATAACTATCTATTGCATTGTTGGTGCCTGAATAAATGTGTGCCTTTACCTATCGCGAGTTATCTTGGTTCCATCGCGTAACATTTCATTGAATCCCTGCCAATTATTCCTCTCACACTCTGACAATTCCTTTGAGCGAATAAAATGACAATGTAGGAAGATAGTTTAAACGATTCAGACTTGAAATAGCACGATAAGAACGCGAAGAGCACAAAGAGGATTCAACTGAAAGAGGAAACATATTTATTAAGAAATCTTCTTTGTAAATTATCGTTTCCCGGTTATTAACGAATATTCCACGAATATCCCAAGAAATTTAACAAAAGGAAAATCAACTCGTGAAACACGAGTTCTCTCTCTGAAAATATTCCCAAAACGATTTCGGGTTTTCAAAGATATCCCTGAATATTCTTTTGTTTCATCTGAAAGAAATGCTGAATTTTATCTTGAGAGAGTGTTCCTAAAAACAATTCTAGGCTTGTCACCAGCGATCGTTTGCTACGTCGACCGTACTCCAACGCTCTCACAGCGGCTCCGATCGATTATCCGGGCGCGCAGATCCGTGATCGCGGGTCGCGTCCAGGCGATTTTAGGCACAAGTTGAAATTTCGAAGAGAATCTTTGCACGTGCACACAATTACGCGAGCGCGCGGCACGACGACTCTGTCGTCTCGTTATATATTTCCCATTTTTTCCTTCTTTATAAATCTCTCGTTTCTCTACCAAATCTCATCCGAACACCGAAGTCCGGTGACTTGATCTTCGGATGTTCCTCCGAACATCATGAGATCCATCCGGGGCTTTCGCGACGTCTACGACGTTCCCTCGCAGCGTTCATAGTCACCACGCGAGCGAGCGAACGAGTGAACGTGCGAACGCGTGCGTCCTTTCCGGTACACCTTCCGGTAGAGAAGGAGGACGCGACGTTCTCGGGAACGTAACGCAAATGTCAACAACAAGTGCACTTTCTCGTGTCACGCTGCTCCTCGAGTCGTGTGGCTTCTTGGTCGTCTGCTCGACCCTCGACCCGTCGTTAGGCACGTTCCTCCTCCTACATCCCCGCTGGTTCCTCAGCGTGCGTGCGGAAACACTCCGCAGGATCGACGTCGGGGGATGATCCAGCGTCTTCGACCGGACGAGGGCTCGATGTGTGGTGTGGGAGAGGCTCGTTGTTTTAGACAAGAGCGCGACGCGACTCTTAGATCGCGCCGTTCACTTCGGGGACTACGGGGGCCCACCAGTCCGTCCACTTCCGTGCCTGCGTTTCCGGTGCTGCGCGGCCGGACGACTTACGAAGCCGATCCTTTTACGATCACAGAACTGTCTCGATCTCGGCGATTTCCGTCCTGGCTGTGTTGTTGTCCGGGATCCTGCGGAAGACAGTTGGGGCTTTATTCTTGAAAGCGCATTCCGCGATTATTTTCTCAAACAATGATGTTTCAGAACGATCGGGGATAATATATGGGGAGAATTTTATAGTGTAAATTACTGTAGAATTTCGTAACCGAGAAACAGATTGACATTCTGCAATAGTTGACCATTCTTTTATTTCATCTGTCCCAGATGGATATACGTGTATGTAAATTCGGCAGCAACTTGGCTAGTGGATTTTTGAAACAATTGTAAAGTTTTCATTGATTATCTTACGTTGTGATAATCATGAGAGTCTATCTGGAACTGCTTATATTTTAGGAATTACTTAGATAAACAGATGCAGAAAAAGTTGGCAGTAACTTTATTACTCGTTTTGCGAGAGTTGCAACTCTTATGAGTTCTATATGAGAATCCATATGAGGATCATATGTGATGAAATAGAAATACGAGAATCAGAGAAAAGAATGATTGAAATCTACTCAAAATAATGTATCATATAAAATGCAATATATCTGAATGGAACATTTCGTAAATTTGTTGCCGCATCAATGTAACAGAGATTATTGTATGATGTAAATGTAATTATTCGATACATTTGCTTCATAAATATAAATAAAAATTATGTAAAAATTGTTTATACGAAAAAGAAATTATAATACATTCTCTCTGTGTATGACAAGATAAGATGAAGAAACTGCCAGAGAGGAGTAAATATATACTAACTCTGATAAATTACAAGAAATTGTAAGAGTATAAATCAAACTCAAAGGTTATAAGAATATTTAATTGAGAATGAAATAATATAATTGAGAATGAAATAACTGGAAGAATGAGGAAAGCGAGATCTTCATGTCCGTAATTTCCCACGTTAACGTAATACAAGAAATTACTTCATTACTGGATAAGTAAGAATCTCGCCGTGTTCCCAGCATTTAGAGAATTGTATCGCGTTTAACTGCGAAAGCACGTGCACATTGAGCTTGAACACACTGAGCGGGATATTGCGTTTCGCGTTATTTATTAAGATTAGCGTTGCATCGTTGCAATATAACCGACACGCTGAGCGAACTTACAATAATATAACCAGATACAGAGAGAGATATAGATGAGAGGAAGTTCTCATTTCTCCATGAGATTTTACTGGACGCCTAAGGGCGTCTTGCGTTTTGCAACGCGCTAGTGGATCAAAGCGCGTTTAAGCGGACGACGCTTCGTGCCAATCCCCCCGGTTTAATCCCTCATCGTTCTCACCTGTAAATCTCCGTGGGCAAGAACCTATCGGGCAAGTACTCCGTGCTGACCACATGGTTCCTGCTCATGTCTCTCGGACGGGCGACCTCGACGGCCTCGATGTACCTGAATATAAACGATCGGGGATTATGTCTTCGCCGTGGAGTGTGACGACGCGAGAGTCGTCTACACGAGTGTATATCCATATATATCCATATATACACACATATATATTCACGTGTATATATACGTATATATATAGATATGTATAAAGTTAAAAACTCGTTCATGCTCCTCCGTCTTCGTCCTCCATCGTCCTCGTCACGGCCCTTTCTCGATATATTGCCACAACCCTGAATTAATTTTCTCTCCGCGTGTCCTCGCGTGTCACCGTCATCTCGCAGGCATTATAGGTAATTAATCGATCAATCGCCACAAGCCACCGCAGCAGGTAATTACCTATAATGTGCAACTCGCAGGGCACCGACGGCGGTGTCGGTCACCTGAGAGCGATTCTCTCTCGTGTACTCCCCTCGCATGCTGCATGCTCTCGGGCACATTAAAATAAAAAAGTCCGTGATAAGTAACGAACGCAAGAAAGTATGTTAGCGAGAGATATATAAATATAGTATAAATATATATATATATATGTATATACTTGATGCGTTATATACGTATGCAGATACGTGATCTACTACTGATCTACTGAAGCGAAGCAGCTATAAGTCTCTACTGTCCCTGTAATTCTACCTATTGATTTCTCTAAGCGAGGTCTGCCGCGTCGTCGTCGTCGATCCGCATGACGCTCGGTGTCTTTCGCCCTCTCTCTTTCTCTTTCTCCTTCTCTTTTTCTTTGTTTTTGTCTCTCTCCCTCTCTTTCTCTCTCTTTTTCTCTTTGTCTCTTCTTCCATCATATTCTCTCTCTCTCTCTCTCTCTCTCTCTCCCGATTATCAAAAAAGAGTGGCCGCGCGGGGAACGGAAGTCGCGCGACTTTACGAAACAACAGAGCCTCGCGGGATCGCGCTGATTCGTGTGATCGCTGGAACGATCTTCCTCTACAACCTGTGAGATCGATCGCAGTGACGTAGGAACGTTGCTGTATCTGTCATTAAATGTGAGTGATTCCATGTGGTGTAAACGGTGTAACAACTATGCAAACGTATCCTGATGTTCCTCGTGTTTTCGAGTAACGAAAGAGCTCTCTGCTATGGCTTCCCTACAGATACATCAGCAGCACGTGCTGCGACGCGATGCTTCCTAGACGGTTGAAAGGAAAAGAGAAAAGCAGCAGATAGAGGCAGACAGAGTTATAGCGAGTACATAGCGTTAGGGTTGCTAGACGTTCAGATTTTACCACGTTAATGTCCAGCTGTCCAGCTAATATTAAAAATGTCTAGATTATTAAATATCCTAACTTAAATACCGAATTAATATTTGATACTATAACGTGTATTTATCAATTTTTTAAATTTAATTTAATATAATATTTCACTCTTTCTGAATAGATATTTTCTTTTTGCGGGAAACCGTTCTATAGTATATTTTTTGTCTATCGTTAACGTAATGATTATAATATAGTTATCGGTCAATGTATTTTTCTTCTATATTTTATATAAATTACATCTTCAGTTTTTCTCTTGGAGACCCGTTACAACTTTCAAATCTGGCAACCCTAGATAGCGTTGTTCTTCGTGTTTTCGTGTTTCGTGTGTTGGTTAGCTGTCAGTCCGAATAATAACGGACGCTTTAAAGTGGCGTCAAAATTTTTGTTCTCTCTTTTCCCGAGCAATTCGTTCAAATATTGAAGACATCGCGGCAAAGTGAATTTCTGAATTTCTCTCTTCGATCGGGCATCGAGCGTCGAAAAGCATAAATAATTAAGAGAGAAATATAACTCTCAGCGACGGCTCCTACGTCACTGGACGCTCTTACGTGTGGTTTGACGTTGCGGACTTACGAATCGAAGTATGGCGGTAGCGGATGCGGAGCTTCCACCGCCAATGGCTCCGGTTGTGAACGGTCCGAGCTTTGGAAGCACCCTCGCCACCAGCCGAGACTTCCGGTTTTCCTCCTTTAAAAAAGCCGACGTGGATATGTGCCAGGGGCTCTCTTCTTACCGTCGAGCCACCGATTATTAACACGGCCACGAAAAGAAACCCTTTCCCCCGTCTCGCTTGACGCGACATCCCGGGATATATACGTCGTGCGACACTCCACTCGCGTGGAAGTGCCCGAACGTATTTTCGAAACTGGATGGTACTGATAGCTTGAAAGGTTTGAGTAGAAAGTCCGAGTAGAAAGTCGGAACAGATCTTTTTTTTCCCAATTATATCTACGCAGTGAGCATGTGATATTACAGACGGACAAGATAGAAGAAATCAAGTGCGTGTGCTAATAATCGATACGATATTAACGTACGTACGAAGCGTAATATATGTACACGATGTATATACATTTTACCGAAAGTAATAGCGGCAGAGCGCGCGTTTTCGAATGCCAAGCGTTTGAATAAACGCATTTCCTCCTCGTTCGCAGTATACTTTTTACATATCGGGTTGACGCGAAAAATTTGTCATGTGTTTGACAAATAAAACAGAAGACGAAATTGCCCAATTTCAGATTGACATTGACAATTATTACGAATAAACTGTAAAAACAAAATTGACTCGGTAGATTTTTCGACATTTTCACAGGATTTCCCTTCTACACTGACAAAAGAGCGTTAAGTATCTACAACTATAATTATACACAGAGAGATAATTATTATAAATTACGGTCGAGGAAATCATGCTTTTATTAAAGTCTACTAATGTTAGTGAGAATAATCTTACATGTGTATTACTACTATATCGAAAAAAAGATAACTATTAGCATATTACTAATTACCAATTACTAAATACTAATTACCAAATATTGCAGTGAAACGCACAAACAACTGTATTTGTTAACTATTACAAGACTCTTTTTCCAGTGTATTATTTTCATATTAGAACAACTAAAAATTTGTTTGGAGTCAAAAAGTATTTATAATTTTTATTAGATCAACGATTTTCTTCTCTCAGTGAAATACTCAAACTTCTCAAGAGAATTTAATTGAAAAACGACAAATCTTTTGCGTCCATCTAAAGTACTATTATATATATGTATGTGTGTGTGTGTGTGTAGTATATAAAATAGAGACTCTTTATCATTTTATCGAGACGAGTCAAGTATAAATATAAAAAAAACACATCTCGATCGAGCGATACTTGTACGTGAGATCCTGTAATTTCGTTTCGTGGACACCTCGCAATATTTCCAGGAGAGTTCCCGGACAACGATGAGACGTTAATAAAGCGTGACGCTCATGCGGGACTTCCGCGTCGCGTTACAAGACAAGTCGATACACATTAGACGCCCCGTCGAAAACGCACGTTCTGCCCCTATACGTTGTTAGACAAGTGCATGCTGTGCGAGCAAGACTCCAAGTGACTTTAGAAAGTAGGTTATGCTACTTAAGCTCGGTCCGCGAATCACATTCGTCTCCCCTTTGGGGGACGAGAGCGGGATTTTCTCTGACGCCGCCTCTCGTGTAACAACAAGGACGATTTTCGCAGCGATTAAACTTTAACGCGGGGATTTGCATGGGGCGCACCGAGCGTAAGTTCGTTCGAAGATATTACGAAAGACAGGTAGAGTAGTATAACTATATGCAACTGCATGCGTAGACTTTTATTACGGGTCCACTTCCGCTTTGCGAACGAAGTAACTTCCGGAGAGAAGAGAGCGTAGAGGATGCGGAGAGGATGTGAAAGGTTCAAAAGAAAGCTTTCTAGAACAGAGGCTTCCGGTTTACGGAGATGGGAAAACAAGCGACAGCACTCTGCGCAAAAATGTATCGCCTCTCGTGAAAGCGTGTAATCGTAATCCGGAGAAAGTGGCGGAATGCGTCCTGTGTCACCCGGCGATTATTCGGCCGCTCGATTTCCTCCCGTGACAAATTTTGAGGCCGCGTCACACCGCGCCGATTAATCTCTCAACGGCGAGTCTGTGTCGAGCCTGTATCGATTCCACGGTGTATCGATCGCAGCCAATTTCGCACATATCGATCGCCGTAATTTTGCACAAGAATAAAAAAAAATCATTCAGCATCTTAAACTATCTTGAGATCCTGTTCTCTCAAACAACTCTTGTTAGTAAAAATGTTTCAGCTCAAACAGAGTTTGCATAATTGAAAAGATACGGTAACTGAATTATCACTTGCGAGTATAGTATTTCAGGGCAAAATACTGATTGTACTTTGGAGAGTGTTTTTCCGATTACTCTTCGCAGGAATTCCTTTATTCTCATGGGGCAATGTATTTGCGATATTTCGCGTAACGTTGGCGAGTCAGAAGCGAAATCGGATTTAAGATACAGAACGTATCGATCCGGTTACAGCGCGCACGAAATCGGATAGAAGCGTTATCACGGTTTAAAAATTATGCATTGTCGGCTCACTTTTAACTTCAATCGCAAAAGCATATTTCCACTGCACCGTACGTTCGTCCGGCAAAATAACGGTAATTAAATTACATTCTCGGCCCAATGTGTGTAACCTTTTTGTTTTCCCCGACTGGACAGGTTTCCGGCGTTGAAAGATTAATCGCATTGAGAACACGCCGATCGCGCGGGATGTTTCTGGCGCAGAATTCGGGGGCGCACGTAACGACAGAGAAGGAAAAAAAAGAAACGAAAAGGAAATAAAGAGCCGGTCGATCAGTGGAATTGCTCACGAGGGAACGACGCCTCATCGGATTATTATGCGACCGAGCTTCAGAGGCTAATCGAATAGCACGGCTGATCTCCCCGGAGAGAGCGAGCCTCCGCGTCTTCGCAAACCGACCTGATCGGAAAGACTCCGCCGCCCGATCGCATTGCAAATACCTCCCCCGCGCGCGCACACACACTCACACAGCGAGTTGGAGTGCTTCCGTAGCTTAATGCTGAATTAAACGGTATTAGAACGAGAGAGTGGAGCGTACTTGGTCTGAGTCGGCTTTATTCCGTGGGCCTCGAGATCTTTCTCGAGCTGCCGTATCCTGATCTTAGCCATGTCGAGCTCGTGCTTGACCTTCCACAAGTGGGTGTCGCAGATCGGGTCCTTGCATCGGTGGTGCCTCAGGATATCCTGTGCCTCGTACACCGCTCCGCGGAAGGTCAAGGACTTCCCCACGCTCTTTAAAAACGAGAGACATTCCGTATGTTCCGCGGGCTTATCCTGCGACTACGCCTGGTCGGAGAATCTCGTGCGCAAAGCGCATAGAATCCGTGATCGTGGAAATGACGATAAAAAAACGGGCGCCGAAGAATTCGCCAATTGTTGCCGCGATATTTCGAAGCATTTCCACTTACTCTTTTAAAGTGAATCAGTGAAACATCATTGAAAGCAGTAAATATGCACTGATTTGCAACTATAAGTACAGCACTGAAACTGCTCAGTGCTATACTTATAATTGATATCAGTGACTATTCACACTGATTCACTTTAAGAGAGTACGTGAAGTGACAAGATACCTTCGCAACGTAATTCGATATCATAAAGAATGTAAATATTACGGATTCTTTACATAATGGCAAGCGCATTTTCGCATGAAGGAGAAAAGGGAACTCAATACTGACCCGGTAACCGCAATGTGTATAAAGTTATTTTGCGAGATATAATTTTGCGTTGAAATATTTTACGTTATATCTTTTAGTGATCAATATCAATTTGTTTCGAATGCATCTCACGCGATAATATATTCTGCCATATCATCCCGATGCCGACGAACTTCCACAGATTGTAGAAATCCTTTCACGCTTTCGTCTTCATCGATATACGATTGTTTCCAGATTACGTCGGCGTTTCCTTCAAATATCATTAATATTCGAACACCTGCCGTACCATACGTGGTTTCAATAATAAAGCTAGAACGACCCAGTTTCGCGAGGCAAATTACAACGAGATTCTCGCGATATTAAGAAAGAGACAGATAGATAGATAGAGCGGCAATATGCTCACCAGGCTGAAAATAGCGCAGGTGCCACCGTCGTCGCTTTTCGCGAGGTGCTGCCTGATGTACTTGAAATACACGTATTCCAGAAATAGGAAGACCGCCGCCAAGAGAATTCCCATCATCAGCAGGAGAAACGCGCTCAGGAATTGCTCGAGCGCGAGCGGATCGCTGCTCTTTTGTACTTCTTTGCCCGGCTTGCACGTCCCGGTCATCCAGTATCTCCTTAATCGCTCCAGATCTCCTGGAATTGACAGGATGACGTGTAGATGGACGCCGCGTGACAAATCGATCGTACGAAGGGATACGCGCGCCTCTCACAAAATGAGTATCTCGCGGGTTACTGCGACGTGACAATATTTTGCCCAAAGCGTACGGGTGTGATTTCACGTGTAATAACAGTACCGTTATTTCTGTAGTCCAACAGTCGTTTGTTGAACATTTGCAAGTACTTGGAGTTCCTGGAGAACGCGATGCCGTAGCCAGTCATGGCGTACCAGGAGCCGACCGTCAGCAGACGACAATCCTCGTCCAGGGAGACCAAGTGGTCCAAGACCGTGCCGTCGTAAATGAACGCGTCCATGTCTCTGCGGAATGTTACAACGATACTCGCACCGAATTTGCGAGGATACTTGAACTACACTGAGAGAAATAGTATCTTAAAATTAGTAAATAATTATTTAGTAGATACTAACAGTATGTTTACATAAAATGTGTTAATATAAAATGTGCTCCAAATAAGAAAAAAAAAAATATATATATATATTTTTTCAGATTCTCTTTTAAGAAAATCTTAATTTTTCATAAACGCATTCATTTATTCTGTTTAAGTAAAAGAATTTAGACATAAGTGAAGGTGTTGTTAGCACTCACCGAATAATTATTTACTAATTTTTAGATAACTTTTTTCTCAGTGCATATATAATCTTATTTTTTGTTGTAATTGTAAACAAAAGACAGGCACAGAGATATTCTTCTTATAACTATCTCTCTCGACTCGAGGCGATGAGGTAGAAACAAATGCAGTGCTCGTTCCCGTGTGTTATATAATTCAACGTTAACCTCACTCCCTCCCCCCTTTATGGAAAGAATATTACAACTCTTTTTCTTCATATAAATTTTAGCCGGTTTTGCTATGTTTGCAGTAGTGCAGGAATAGACTTTCAATAAAGTATATCTCGCTAAAAAACCTAGTAAACGTTGGCAAAATTTTTAATGGCATATTTCACTTTCTAAAATACAAATGGTGTACGTATGAGAAGAAAGGATAATAAATTACTGCAGAATGTCGATCTATTCATCGCGGTCACAGAACTATATGTAGCAATTCTTATTATAAAATTCTCCCCGTGTAATCTCTATATGAGAACGCTTCGAGAGATGAGTCGTTCCAGTTTGAAAGTGCAGAATTTCGCGGAATCGGAACGTTACACGTTTTTAGATATGATTTCCTTTCAGCTTTCGTTGAGTTCATATTCTTCTCTCTATTAGCCTCGATTGGTCGATCTTTCCGATCGATTTACGTTCGCTCATCGACCGGCGGGAAGCTCGTCTACTCACCCGGAGATTACCGCTTCGATACCCTCTGCGACAGTGCTCTTGTTGAAGGCCTGCATGTAGGAGTGCATCTGCTTGAAGTACTTGGCCAGAGTGCTGTCCGTGTGACTCCACGGTATGGTGCCGAATTTGAACATGGGCTTGTGGGAGAATGGCCTGGCGAGTCTGTTATCGTTCACGCCGCTGAACTCGTGGAACTCCTCCCGCGTGATCATGAAGGCAGCCAGATTGGCAGTGTAAATGGCGAGAAACACCACGGCGAACAACGCCCAGACGTTCGTCATAAATCTACGTGGAGGGTAGGTCGATTCTTTGTTAGCCGTGTCGACTTTGAGAATTTAATGCCGATAGAATCGCGAAGCGAATGTCGAGTGGCTAGGAATACGTGTATCAGTTCACATACCCCGGGAGAAAAGTTGCAAGCATCTCTCAATTTTTGCAGATATGGGAACAGCGTTATTTGTTTGATAAAGCATTTAAGCCAGCATAATCGCGTTCGTTGAATGGCATTTTGGTATAAACTATTATCGATAATTATTATTTACTATTGATAATATTTATTATTGATATAATATATATAATTTCTATTATATAATTTTATTATTGACAATATGATATTAATATCATCGGCATCACAACAACAAATTCTCTTTTCCTATTTCCATTATCAAACTAAGCTTTCAAAACTTCAGCTAATCAAAACTGTTTTATACAATTACGTAAAAAAAGAATTCAGACCAGGAGCAGAATGAGACGTTTGGGATGCCTTATTTGCATCGAGCGTGGTCACGATTGACAACGTAAACAGTCGGAGTGATTTGCATTTAACAACGTTTATCGTTAACGTTCGTCTGGGGGACATTTTCCTGCATTCACGCGCAACGATCTCCGGTAGGCGAGGAGGCGGAAAATTAATTTGTCGAGTTATATCTGGCCGGTAATTAAAATTCGTCGGGATAGCGGGCCTCTAGGTAGGCGGACAGGGTAGAAGAGGATCCTTTCACTGACCTGGCTGTAAATCCTCTGGGAGAGTCGATATGGACGGCAGCCTGAAATAATACGGCCCAGACCAGCCAGTACGTGCGGCAGAAGGAGAAGCGATGGTTTGTCGATGGATTTTTCTGCAAAAGCGCAAAATCGACGTCGCATTAGCGCGAGGAATATTCCGCTCTGCGTACAGCAAGCAGTACGAGAAAATATCAGGCTGCTTATATGCACACTGCGAGGAGAAACTGACGCGTCGCACTCCGTCGTTTCCTCCCTCCGAGCAAACACTTGACTCGACATTTGCAAAAGTTGGAGAGGAACATTAGAGAGTTTCATTCTTAATTCGGCTGACATCGTCAATGTATGCGAAAAACTACATGGTGACTTTATCGGACGGAAACTGTGCGGGACGCGTGGTAAATATTCGAGAACAAATGATTGTATTCAATCGTACACGAATGTTGTTCCTACATGGCCATATATAAACATACGTAATTACTCACATCAACATGGAAAGACAAAATTGTTGCGTTATTTTTGAAACATATACAATCAATCATACAACTGACAATTGCAAACTAGGAACAAATGCGATTATTAGAAAGGCTTTTATTTTTTACCTTCGGCTAACGATTATCGGAACATGAACGGGACTCGAGGGTATCGTTTTGACGCGATATACCATATCAATAGCCGTGCGCCGAGAGGTAAAAGTGCAAACGAGATGGAAAACATATATATAGTTAATAAAAAGCGAAATAAAAGATACCAGTTTGTGCGCAGCGTTTGAAGGGTTTACCTTCATGTCGAAACCAGAGGGCGATGCCCATTCAAAGAGCAGTATCATTAAGGTTGCGGCATGTATCGCAACAATCACCACCAGCATCCATGAAGCCGTGTCGAACGGTTCTGAGAATTGGAATCATTAGCTGTAATCGGCCGCTTTTTCGCATTGATGGATCAATATTGACGTCGACGTATTTCGCGCGATATGTCGACAGCAATCACACGTATCTCTTTTTTCCGAATACATGCAAGCGGCAGTAACGAGTAGAGTTTTTCTTTTCAAACAGCATTTTGGATTTGCGTACATTTACGTCGATATTTTATATTTCTAAATAATGACAACAGTGATTCACGAAATAATAACGTGCATATTTAGAGACATTAATTTGTAAATAATAGATATTTCCCGATCTTTCAAAAATGGTTTATCTTTTTAAAAATCTTAAAAATAGTTTCTCAAGTAATTAGTATTCCTTAGTCTTAAGATTTAGTTTCTCTTAATAAAACTTAAGAAATGTTTGAAAACATAATTTCTAAATAATGAATATCTCTTTCGGTAAAAATAGTACATCTTCTTTTTCAAAATCTTAAAGATAGTTTCTCAAGTGATGGACATTCTTTGGTCTTAAGATTCTTTGATCTAGCAATATTAAAAAATAGCTTTTTTAAAGACGCCATTCTCACCTAGAAACGCGGTGGGCGATATTATGCCTGTTCTCTTCGCCACGACAATGGCGATACCAGTCTCCATGTAGGGTATGGTAAAATCGACCACTGCCTCCCTTTCGGAATTGATCGTCAAAGAGGTCATTACCATATCGGTCTTTCGGTTCACCAGATCGGCTATAAGCCCGTTCCATTTTCCGTTCTGCGTGCAATGATCGTGCCATGTGACAAACATAAAAAAACGGTCTGAATTATTTTCCTGCATGTATTATCGATAAAAAAATGTATATTCAATTTTATAAAATTGTCCACACACACACACACACACACACACACATACACACAGATTTTTTATACGAATGTGAAAATAAATGTATAATAAAGTAGCTAAATATTTTTCTTAATCTCGGAATTTTTATGAATATTTAATGAAGAATTATATATTTGTTCAATGAGAACATATTTTAATTTTTAGAGATAAATTAGTTTACAAATTATGAAAATATCGTGAGAAAATATATATTTCATATCGTTATATTATATTATATTTTCGAATATTATATTTCTGTTTTGCTCGATAATAATTGTCGATTTCAAAATAATTTCGCGTTTTATTCGTAAAAATTAATATTTCTCAGCGCCGATAATGTGTTAATGTGTACAGTTTAATGCGTGCTATTATTGCGAAACGATAATAACGCAATAGTGTGATTAGAGCACTCGATAAGCGGAAAATTATCTATTCCGAGGTTGTTCGGCCCATTGCCGAGTCGTATTGGGTGTCATCGGAAGCACCTTTTGTGCAGTGTGTGGGCGGAAATTGAACGTGTTGGAAGCCCGTTCATGCGTGCATTTCATAATAAGAGTCATGAATAGCTCGATCAACGTGCACAGCGGATTTATCATTATACGAGGAAATTCACTCCTCTTTATACTTTATAACGTGCTGAATCTAAAAAAAAGTGCGACGCGATACGACCGTCTTTCTCCTGTTATTCGAATCGTTTCGGAGAGTTTCAATCGATCACGTTCAAAGCCTCCACTAAAGATGCTTTTGTTAACATAAAACGCGTTTATGTTGCACTTGGAACGAATTTATGGAGCGCGTAAAGATTCGAGACGATCGGTTGCGTCGGAGTCTCGTTGTGTTTTCCCTCGTGAGGTTTTTCGGTTGTCTCTTCCATAAACGCGGAAGAATGGAAACGTCGCCGAGAGTTTCGAAAAACGAAGAAACAAAAGCGAAACCGGAGTACAAATGCGATGAAATGCTTAGCGCGAATAATTCTCCCGTCACATTACACAACACATTTGTTTGCAATGAGTAAGGAGCGTCTCGCGTGAATTTCGCCCGAGCTCACCTCCAGAGTACCCCACTTGCCGTCCTCCACCCTCACGAGCTCGTAAGTGAAACCGATCTCCTCGGAGAACTTCTGCAGCAAGTCGATGCAAAATCCGCTACAGCACTGATAAAAGCTCCCGTTCTTCTGCGCCGCCTGAATGTCCACTCTGTAACAAAAAACGAGCACTCGTCATTTTCTTAAATACACCCTTGGAAACGCGAAAATTGCTTAAAAAAACTGTAAAAAATTGTCGAGGGAGCAGAGAAACGTGTTGCTAAAATGTGTTCTAGATACTCAAGGTGATAATTCCTGGACACATACTTAATCCTGGACATTCTTATTATTTAGGTTTTTAAGTGCCAGTTGTTCCAACTTTTTGATAAGTTAACTGATGATTAAATCATATATCTGTCTTTGTTTCTTCTTCAACTTAGACAAAGACACACATATGATTTAACTATCAGTTAACTTATCAAGAAGTTGGAACAGTTGGTCCTAAATACAAATATTTAAACTTTTAACATAAAGTATATATTACTTATTCAATATTTGTACATATATTTTATGTTGAAATATTTGTATCTGGGGGCCTGTTACGGTTCTATGTGAGAAGTGAAAATACGAAAAGTGAGCGAATTTACTAGAATATTTATAATTTCATTGGTCAACGTCTAGTGAATTCGCTTTTCGCATTTTCACTTCTCACACAGAACCGTAATAACAGAGCTGACGGCTTAAAAGTGTCTAGGATTAGAGTACATGTTCGAGCATTGGTATTTTACCTTAGAGTGTACGTGCGCCAAAGGTCGCGCGCGACCTTCGAATCAACACATACGTAGACACGCGTCGCGCGCTCTCTACCACAGTCTTTGACGCGTGAGTGAACGCGCCGGATCGCGTCGCGCTATTTCTCCCGCGCTTTTGTCAACTTGATCACAACGTTCGTAAGACAAATCGCGTCGTCTCGTGAATACGATCGTCGTGCTGAGATCATCGTGAGCATTGCGAGCATTCTAAAATTCAAGGGTATCGTATTTATTATCGTACTTATTATCGTACTTTAATTTCATTACGTATGAAAGGAGAAATGTAACTTCAAAGAATGAGAGAGAAATATATCCTCAAATTTAACTCATAGTCGAATCTCATAGCGAGTTCTTGTTGTCGATAAGCTCAAAATCGAGCGATTTCTTTACCACTGTGACTAATTAGGTGAATATTTCAGATCTGGTGGAGCTTGCATCACCGTGGCAAAGGTGTCTGTGTTTGCGGACGCAGTACCGAAGGATTCTGTTCGGGCCAGGTGGAGTCGGCTGAAAGGTTATATACGTTTATATACGTTTTCTGTATATATGTATATACGTTTTCTGCATCTTTTTGCTTATCTTTTTGCAGTCGAAAACTGAAGGCTTGTCTGCAACGCACAGTTACGTCTTAGGGTTGTTTGTTCCAACTTCTTGGTAAGCTACCTGACAGTTAAATTATGTCTGTCTCTATCTGATTTGAGGAAAAACGAAGACAGATTTAACTGATACATGATTTAACTGTTAGATAGCTTACCAAGAGATTGGAACAATCGGCCCTTAGAGTCGTAGCGCTACACAGAAGAAAAGAACATTCTTGTTTGGAAAATATCTTTACTTTTGACACGTTAAAAGGAGAAAAGGAGAGATTAACGCAATGTAATTTTATTTGAAGATTGACATGTTAAAAATAAATATATTTTCCAAACAAAAATGTCCTTTTTTCTGTGCAGTTTGTGAATCAACCATATATCTATTTTCTTCGCGTAAACTCGTAAAAAATGAATAATTTTATTGAACTCGTCAATGAAGTTTTTCATTTTTCATTAATGTACGCAGAGGAAATAGATTCACAGACTAGTGCTACGACTTTAAAACGTAACTATGACCGCATTGTAGACGATCCTTAAGATAAAATTTTTGAAATAAAAATCATTAAATTACGATCGCAAAGAGATGACATACTCGCACTTATTCGTTAAATTAGATCATTAAAATTAATCAGCAATGCTATCTTTCTGTTGTAGGATTGAAAGCAGACCGCGGTCGATCTATCGAGTTGCCGATTTTTTGGTGAGTAAGAAATGTTTACATACATACAAATTAAGCGATGGTGAATACACCATTGTTATGTGTTGAGCATTTGTAAGACTCGACAAATCAATGCGATTTGTCCTTTGATTGTGGATTTTTGCATGTTGTGTGTGTCCCTTTGTATGAAATATACTTAAGGAAATTGGGAATTACCTCAGAGGTACTGTTTCGAACATATTGCCGCTTTCTCGATCAATCAACAGACATAAGAAACACGTAATTAGAAACGAATGAAGTTGATCGAAAGTTCTCGGTAACAATCGATTTATACTAAGAAAAAAATATTCAAAACTCACTACATATTTATTTGGTGGATACTAATAGTATATTTACTTGTACTAAGATAAAGTATGTTTTAATAAAGAGAGTAAATACATTTTATTAAAATCTTGAAACTTTAGAAAACTTTATGAAAGCAATTATTCATTCTATCTAAATAAAAAAGAATTCAGATTAAAGAGAATATGCCGTCAGCACCCACCAAATAAATATTTACTAATTTTTAGATACTTTTTCCTCTCTGTATAGTGAATGATAAGATATCCACGGATTAAATATACAGTATATTGAGTCAGTATATTAGTCAGTATAACAGGTTGCTTACTCAGCTTTGTTGGCGCGTGCTTGAGCACAGACTCAGCTCGAGCTTGGCGGTATACTGGTTTGCAAAAAGCGGATTACATTTATTTTTATTATAAAAAAGAATATTAAAAAATGTTGTAAATCGTTTTACCCGTTATATTGACCTCTATACGTTGATGTCAGCACCTTGTACACACCCGATAGACGGGCAAATATTGTTGACGTTTGACGGGAGATCACGTAGCCCGTTTTTACCGATCGTTTTGATACTCTCATACATCACGCGTCTTTCCGCATTTCAGTCATGTTTTGAACAGATGAGAGACGTGCACATAAACAATGCGGAACATGTATAACATTATGGTAGTTATTCCTATCAGATCTGAAAGTATTCGATCGGGATTTCGTTGATATCGTGTTAACATGCGTTTCTTTGATAGACTTGACGTGCCGCGAGTTTTCAGCCGTGACAAATACTGAACAAAAATGCCTGCCTAGTTACTGCATAGAAAAAAAGAATATTCTTGTTTAGAGAATATCTTTAGTGTTGATATTTAAAAAATAAGATTAATATTAAAATGAGATTATGTTGCGTTGAACGAAGATAAATTAGCCTTCAATCAAAATGAATATAGTTAAATTAACAAAATTATTTTCTATATTATATTATATTATATATTTTCATATATAAGTAAGAATATCAATATATTGTTGGTTATATGTGTACATGTGTAATAGAGCAGACATCGTACGCGTGAAGTAATGTACTCGACGAAGTTTGTCGTATCTTTAAAGAAACGAAACATTCTCGAAGTTTGACAGAATCGCTCGTGTCATTAATGAGATTTGCGGAGAAAAGTTTCGCAAGTTGAGCGTCCGTTGAATTTTTCGTCTGAAGAATTTCGGCGTTTAACTGTCACCTTCTGCGCGATTCCGGTTGATTCTTTATCCCGGCACGAGCAAGGTCCAATTAAATCCACCGTGGCCGGCGGTCCATGCCATTCGGACCAGATGTCGTCGTGGCAAGAACTGACAGCTATTGTTAGGATCTTTTGAGAAAATCGTCCGTCGGAATGAAGTCCTTTCATGTGTCTGACATGCACGGCTAACAAGACTCGCGCCCGACGAGAGTTACATTAAATTCTTTTGTACGTGGTAAGTATCTAAGTCGTGATTAATGTTCGTAAGAGAAGAGTGCGGTGGCGTTGCACTAAACAAGATACAAGAGTGGAGGACAAATGTACTGAGAGACGAACGAATCTCAGTCGCTTCCCCGCGGCAAATACGTCGGAATTTCGCGCTCTGATTCAAGAATTCAATATCTGAAGTAGATTTTATTGCTATTTATTTTTTTCCTTCAAATAATTTTCCCTTTTGAGAAACTTAAAGATAATTCATTTTAACCAAGTTATGACCTGGTATGAATTTTCGCCTCCATAGTAAAATCTTTTTCTCAGTGAGCGCGGAAAATTTGATAGATTGCGTGATAGATTATAGTCTAACGAGATATATTGATCAGAGCAATACATTTGGTTCGCAGCGACGTAACCTTCGCAATAAATACATGTTCTTTTTTTTATCGGCTTGCTCTCGGCGACTGTATCGATGATAAACTGGAGCGGTTAACGGCCGTCTGGTCTGGAGAAAGCTGAGCGTGGTAAATCGTCGTCCGTAAAGATTCGCATAGGCCTTCCACATTGAAGCACGGGATAATAATCGACGGGATCTGCCGACGTCGTAAAAACTTTACGCACCGTCTGCAAAGGATATTAAATTCCGATCGGCACTGTGTTACCCTTTCTTGGCGCGGCCGAAGCGCTCGCGCACAAGAGGGGTCGTGCAGTCGGCTGAGTTGCGAAACTTTCCTCCCCTGGTAGAAATTGAACCTTATCAGTGTGTAGCCACGAAATAATGAATTTATGTTCACGAAATGGTGAAAATCGATGTCTTTCACATTTTATATTTACATAAATATGCTGATTGATCCTTAAGGGAAATCCCTTTAAAGAGGATCAGATTGCCTGAAAATCGTGCTTGTTTTTTCACAATTTTTTATGACAAACTGAATAAATATGCGAAAGTGTTATTTTGATGTGTATTTATACAACATATAAAGAGAAAAAAATATAATTTTAATGATTAAATATTCAATATAAATGTATGGTACATGCAGTTAAAATATATTCCGTTTTTCTTTTCAAGCTCGTCATTTTGCAGTAATATCTTGACTCTCGGTGATTCAATTAAGCTGAATTTTAGATAGAAAATTTCCGTAAGCTTATCGTGAATCACTATAATAGAAATTGAGTAAAACTTAACAAAATTGCAAATATCTTAATAAAATATTATTAAAATTTCAGTTCTCTTATAGTAAAAAAATTAATATTTTCAAAATTAAATATTTTCACGAGTTTGTCAGTGGTTCACACGATAACGACAAGCTTACGGAAAATTTCTACCTAAAATT